AGGTTTTCCCTTGTCCTTCGGCGAATGCGGTACAGGGGGTTGGGAGGTGGGAGGGGAACAAATCGTAAAGACCCGAAAGGGTATACGAGAAAAAAAAATTTTGAAAAATTATCAATAGTTGAAAGTTTCACAATCTCCCTTAGATTCTTAAAGGAACTTGTCCTCAAGTTAATAGTATATTTCGTAACGAGCTAAAAAACATTTTTTCACGAGTTACGAACAATATTTTTCATCACAATGTGGCGGAAATTGGACTTTTAGGCACGCGGAGCGTGCCGAAAAGTTGACTTTTCGTCACAGCGTGATGAAAATTAATTTATTATATTTTACTTTCATTAATGGGAAAGAATAACAATCTTGAATCATTATTCTTTTTCGTGGGCTATTTCTGCTTAGCGTGGCGAAAGAAGATAAGTCAGAGGATTTTTATTTCACGCCAACTTATTTATTTTAGAATGACTCAACGTTTCCTAACATTTCTCATTTAATACATCCACCAAATTACATTCTCCACAAAAAATTACATTTTTTGTAATACAACTGAATGCATGTGAATTCTGTGCTGAAGTCATAAAACGTAATAATCTGACCTATTGACAAATATTTTGATTATTATGAAATTTAGAGAATAAATCACTTTCAGATGAACTGTAGTTAGCAAGACAAACTACAGGTGCTTTTCCTCAAGTTATCCCATTCTTTTATGTTATTTTGTCTCGTCTCATTTCTCTTAACTACGCTTTGAAAAATGATCCAATTTCATGATACCCAATTTTAACAATTTCTCTCTAATTTTTTCAGATGACAGCCCAGTATCCAACAACGGTTCTCCAAACAATAACGAACCCAGACGGCACCGTGTCCATAATCCAAGTAGATCCAAGTAATCCCATAATAACTCTACCAGACGGCACCACCGCTCAAGTACAAGGGGTTGCAACTGTAAGTTTCTACGTTCCGCCAGTTGAAAATGAGTTGATCATTTCGTGATTAGCAACAAAAATTTACGTCACCTGTATTTCCGGCGGATCATAAACTCATCAAATTTTTCACCTTGACACGGCTTGGGGGGTCACATAAAAAGAGAGAGTTCTATGCTAAACTTTCATTTATAGTAATCTATAGTAATTTGGTATTTATAGTAATTTTCGAATTGATTAGGAGTATAATTTACTCGTAATCTCTAGAATTTTCTAGAAATTTCTACGTTACATACATAGTACAATAATTGATTATCCTGAACTGATTTAAGAATAAAAATTTCACCACTATTTTTCAAAAAAACGTCTTCTGAAATAAATTTTGTTCGAATAAAAAAAATAGTAAGTTGAAAATTATCATACATAACAAATGTGCTGAAGTTTTCAAGTGTCCCAAGATGAAAAATTTTTTGTCGTACAAATAGATTTGGTTTAAAAAAATGGTCATTTTCCACGCGAGCAAGAAATCCATTTTTTATCACTACCTCTTCTTGATTCTTCAGTACCACCGATATTTTGCTTCTGGAAAATGTTTGTTGTACACGTAACAAGGAAGAGTAGTTTGTCATAATGCCTATAGAGTACTTAAGGGGTCTCCGCAGTTGCGATGGGTGCGCGAGTGAGTGAAGTGTAAAATAGTCAAGTTAGTGAGGTTAGTTTCGAGAGAGACGGGACATCAAACATGGCGTATGTTGGATAATGACAGATTTCACCATAGTATTTTTACCATTAATTTATTCAACAAATCAACGATAAAACCCAATGGGACTTCGTGTTCATATTGTTTAGGGCTTAATACAGAACAATTTAGCTTCCTTTGCTGGCTAGCACATTGTCAACAGTGTGAGGGGTATGGGGCAAAGAAGCGTCCATAAAGGTTGTGTATAAGGCGCAATTTGAATAATTAATTAAATACGAACGGAACCATAAAAGGAGTTAGAATTGCTTTTACAAATACCTTTTTAACATGTTTGATTACTATATGATATATTTAATTCGCAACCACATTGTCATATTTTACCCAAAAGTACTGTGGAGACCACTTAAAGATGAGAAATAAATTCTCAAATAGGATAATAATGATAGTATGATAGCAATCTTGAAATTGAAGAACAAAATATGATGATGACGTGATGAATAATTTCATCTCATGAGAGATTTTCATCGTGAAAAGGCACTTAATCAAAGATGTCGTTGTTGGAAGCAAAACGATTATCCATATTTAAAATTTTCGAATATTCAAATGAAACAATTTCTATCGCGGCAATTATCAGCTTACGGTTTGTTGGTTGAAACAAGGCTCTGTTTGGGAACATGTTTTTTTTTCTCTCATTGTAGTGAACAAAGGGCCATGGGCCAAAAGTTTTGAAATAAATGTTCATCCTTGCTTCATTAGACGATACCTCCATGATTTTTATTCGGTGCGTTGTAGCTAAGATATGTCCAAAAAAATTTCCTCTTCCTGTCGCTCAAACTTTCGCGAAATCCCCCTTAAGCCGTGTCCAATTGAAAAAAAACAAATCCTTCGTTCGTGACTAAGCTCCTAGGAATCAGTCTAAGAATGACGCGTAAAAAAAATAACGTGAAAAAAAATTGTTATGTTAAGATACACACGAGTCAGGGTGAAGTGCAAACACTGGCAGAAGTGGGTGGTGCTGATGGTACGAGTGTGGCTGTCGATCTCAATAGCGTGACCGAAGCAACACTTGGCCAAGATGGACAAATCATTCTTACTGGAGAAGATGGACACGGTAAAACTGTTTTCTATAGGCTCTGCACCGTCGCCGGCCAGGAACTACTCGAACAGTGATTCCATTTTCATTAACTGGCCCACCTCCCTCATTTATCTCTCGAAACCCAGATTTGATTTTTGCATGTTGCCTGCGGCGCTCCAGTCCAAATTTAAGAAGTTTTTTTTTTTCATTTTGTTTTTCTGTTATTAAAAAATATTTCATTCGAAGAACGAACAAACTTTCTTCCGTTCATTCTGAATTGTTTTCTTTTTTTTGTAGTCAATGTTTTTTTTTTGTTTCCGTACTGTAAATATTAATCATTAATAATAGTGGAAGTAAACGAATTATTGTTCCATTTGAGAATCCATTGGCAACGTGAATCCACTAGCCAAATGATCAATAATTAATATAATATACTTGTTAATTAGTTGAAGATAAGTTTGGAATATTTTTAACTCGATAAATTCAGCGTTTCTTCTTTTATTCCTGAGAATTTTTGGTAATTATGAGGATCATTACAGTGTGTACATAATCTTAATGGAGCAATGAATATTTTATCACGTAGTATACGAAGTACAAAGTGATGACAGGGCTGTGGATGGATCAATGGATTCTTAATGATAATAATAAAACATGGAAGAACGTTTTACTTTTAATCAATAAATGAATTGAATGAGTAAGCAACGTGACGACATTGCAGATAGTCCTTAATTTTCTCTCCCTTTTACGGACACAATCTCACTGCTACTTTTTTTTCATTATGATTACGATGATCAAAGGCAAAATAAAAAGTGCTGTAAATAGATTATATTTTATTTTGATGTTTTATTTTGTAATTTATTTATTTTTTTCTTGTGTCTTGCGTTCAATCGGATAATCACTTTTTCTCCTCAGTCGATACCAAAGAGTGTTCAGGGCAACAAATAATCGTATTCCCCAATGGTCAGTTAGTTTAAATGAACAATAGACCAAAGACGAATTTGGCCTGCGCGTTAATAATTTTACGTTTATGATTATTTAGTTTAATCAAAATGTACTAGAAAAACATGATAAAGAGAAAGAAATCAATTTGTAAGTACATTTTTATTTAATTTCGCCATTATTCTGTCGCTTAATGTTAATAATTTTTCTTATCTTATGAGGTCGATCAAGTGTGGAGTTACTGAGCATGTCATTTTTTTTTATCGATGTAAATATTGATTATTTCGGAGGATGGAGTTCAATTCTGGGAGGGCAAAAATGATTCACGGTTGTGAAATGTACTTTTTTTATGAATTCATGTGTTTCACCATTTGACAATTTTATGTATCGAGATAACTCTAACGATCACTGCATTCATCTTTGCAACGCGTGATTAAAAAAAAAGTAGCTAATAGTATATTGTGTCACAAGTGCGTCAAGTTATAATTTTCCGCATGCACACGTAGCACATACTGTATTTTGTGATACCTGGCGAGTTCAAGGTCGTACGGAAAACAAGCGCTTTACGCACACTAAAGCGTTCCTAAAAATGAACTTTTCCGGCAGATATTATACCAGATTTTCTTGAAGATATCCAAGTTAGAGCGCCACTGCAATTTTACTTGGCTGGAATCAGACAAAAACTGAAAATCATTAATTAAGGCTCGGATGGATTATCTTTAGAACGTTATCTCGATTGTTTTTCCATCTTCATAATGTAAAATGTATCATAATTTCCATTGGATTTTACATCACGCAGGAATCCCTGAAAATTATGATTGTACAATCAAAAAAAGGAGAAAAAAAACTGAATATTTTCAAAGAGCGGTTTTTAATAAAGATTAAGAAAGAAGTCTGATAGAGAGGAAATAGTAAATGAATTTTCCGTCCCGGCGGGCGCAAAGTTACATTTCCCTCCCGCATCGCGGGAGGGAACTCTGACTTTGCGCCTACGCCGAGACGGAAAATCGCGTTCTAACCACGGGAAGTAAAATAAAGGACCCTCAGCCGCGTGCTTACCAACCTTGCCTTCGGCTCGGCTGGTAATTGCACTGGCGGCTGAGGATCCTTTATTTTCCCTCCCTAGGTTAGAAATATACTATTAATTTATAATGGTAACTAACGATCTGACAGCCATTGGTTACTGTGACAAATGACGACCTCACAGCCATTAGATACATCAAATTGTTAATTTACTGCGTTCATTTCCCAATATTATTCAAAAACGCTCTTTAAAAATGTGTAGCTTTTTTTTCTATTTTTAAAAATCATTCTATCATAATTTTTGGGAATTTCTACATGATGTATCACTCAATTGACAATTTTGGATTACGAAAGATTAAAAAAATCCAGATAACATTCGAAAGATAGTACACCCGGGCCTTAAATCTTCTTTTCCCTCAGAAGCCTAATTTCAAGGCACAGGTTTCTATGGTTTCCATTATCGAAATGTTGATTTCTCAATGAGAACAATTGAAATACAATTTTTCAAAGGGAAAAAAAATTTTAGTCCAACTATATCAAAATAAAAAAAAACAACCAACATCACGTTTGAAAGATAATTCACCCGGGCATTAAATCAATATTAATCGTCGTTTGTTGGCATTGGTGAATTCACCTAAAGATCATGCTTATAAACATTTCTCCAAGTTACACATTCCTCGCTAAGTTGGGGAGTAATTATTCCTTTACTACCAAAAAATTATCACCATATGTTTCAAGTTGGTTAGCTCTACCATACAGAAAAATATAAGCCTAAAAAGACTATATTCCAGTCGACAAAATAATGATATTGAAATCAGATGCAAACTGTGACTTGGAAATATGTTTATAGACAGAATTTTCACTGTTGTTTTAACATCACAACATGTAATTGTTGGTATTTGATGTAGTTGTGGCCTTTAGTTACACTGCAATCAATTAATTTTGATGGATTCCAGTCAAGTGATGTTTGTTGTGTTTCGGATCGACGGAAGACAATCGGAAATGTAAGTTTTCCGAAATCCATTACACAGACTGTTTCATTTGGACATCTTCGGAATTTCTCGTTCGAGAGATCAATGCAGTTGCAAAGTGGTGAAAAACAAAACCAAGCCCTGACAGTTCATAGATATTATGACATATTTTAATATTAACGCAGTATTTTCTTGCCAAAATGGCCTATTACATTCAATGGCGTCAACTTCAATTTTCAACAAAACAGAACAACCCAGAACAGAATTGAACTACCTTCAATTTTTTGACAAATTTCATATTTTGTATTAAAACTTTATCTACCGAAATTGTAACCCCACATTGTACTATTGAACTCTACAGAATTTAAGGGACAACTACTATGAGTTTTCAAAGTCGCTGGCGATTGGAGTGTGATTTTTCATGCATTGAAAATCGATTATATATGTCTAAAAACGAATAATTAGTATAAAAAAAATGTTTATTGTTCGTTTGCTCGCACACGCTTAAAATGTTAAAAGAATTCCAGGGCCTCCAATTTTTTAGCTACAGTGGTTTTTTTTTTCAAAATTTTTGAAAAAACGTGTACAATAACAATTACGAATTAGTTTTGTGAAATTCAACACCTATACAGCTAATTTTGTTTTGTTTAATACAAAAATTTGCGCTATTCATGCAAAATAGGAAAAAAATATCCTTAAAATATATTCTCGATTCTTTTCATTTTTTGGACTATTTTACATGAATGGTGCAATTTTTTATTTAAAAAAGCAAAATTAACTGTATAGGAGTTGAATTTCAAAAAAATAATCCGTATTTGTTATTGTGCACACTTTTTCAAAAATTTTGAAAAAAAATCTCTGGAGGTTGAAAATTGGAGGCCCTGGACTATTTTTATTATTTCATGATAAAACAATTGATTTTTTTGTACTGATTCAATTAGACATTCTGCAATCTGAATCTGAATCTGAATCTGCAATCTGAATCCCACATTTGTAAATGTTTCATTTATTGTGCGCATAATGAGAGCATGTTCGATATGCATAATGAGAGCACGTGGAATTCACGAAAATTACAAAAAATATATAAAATTCAATAACTCCTATCGAATTGCACGCAACAAATTCAACTGTTATAAGTTTGAATTATACAATGGCACATATCAATTTTATAGAATTCAATGGCTATATCGTGCAATTAGAATGCGAAGAGTACAATTTCTGTAGGCAAAGTCTTGATCCATAATGTAGTAGGTCTTTTCGTTGAGAAAATGCTGTCAGTGTCGAAGTATGCTGGCGTTATTCTAGAAATATCTCCGACATATTGGATTTATCGAAAACTCCAAAAAAACATTCACAGAATCCAAAGGATTACTCCCGAAGGAATTCCTTAATTTTTCATTCCAAATCTCTTCCCCGAGTTATTAGCAAGATAATTTATGAATCGATGAATCGATGAAATTTTTTGAATATTAGACACGTATCTTTCTCTGTATTTCAATGAATGATGAGAAATTAATAAGTTATCAGGATTGGATGTCTTGACCATGATACCATCATACTTTTTTTTCCAATCGTCTAGAACTTATTAATTTTGTGCAGCTCGTTGAACGATTGTAACGCATGAGCCACTGATGTTTCTCATTGAACGAAAAAATAGTCGAATATTTGGAGTATCGCCGGTGACGGACAAATCGGACGGATATTTGCGTGTTTCAGGGTATCCAGTATCAGTGTCGGGTGTTATCACAGTGCCAGTATCAGCCAGTATGTATCAAACAATGGTGGCTAATATACAGAGTGATGGAACAATGCAAGTTGTAACACCAATGCAAGTACAAGTACCGAAAGTTGAGCCTGGTAATGGAGAAACAAGCATCGAAGCTGTGACTATTCAGGGTCATCCAATGACAATGATCAATGCTAATGGAGAGCATCAGGTGTTACAAGTGATATCATTGAAAGACGCTAATGCACTGACCAAGGCAATGCAGGGTGAGCTCGTCAAAGACGAGGATAGCCAGCATCAGCAGACTGTTTCTAGCCCTGAGTAAATCTAATTTGTCATTGTTTGAGATTGTTTCAAGGAGAGAGAATGCTTTTGGGAATGTTCCTTTTTTTATTAAGAAAAACAATTGGAGTTACCATCTGGAAATTTTTGTAAGAAAAAAAAACAATAATTTTGATGGAAAATTGAATGAAAATTTGAACTCTTGAATGAACTTTTTAGTTTTTTTTTAGTTGAAGAAAGACTTTTTTGAATACATATTTAGTTGAATACATTTAAGGCTGTTTATTACACGTGCACTCTGTTGAGTTTATGTACAAAATTTACCAGCATCCAATTTTCGTATTACACGCCATTTGAAAAGCACATATTGTTTTTTAGACGAACTAAGTTTATTTTTCAATACAATGTTCTGTGACTGTTTTGCATGCTTGTATATTTTCAGAATTTTACACGAGTTTTACATAGGGGAGAGTGGAGCAGAATGAAACAGTCGAAAAATAACTGTTTGACGCAATTCAAGCAAAAAAAAATTTTTTTGTTAAATATTTTTTTTTATTAACTTTTTTTATTCTTGAGAGTACTAATGAAAATAATAATTTTCCATTCAGTAGAATAAAAAATTATTGAGAAGTTTTGACAGAAGAAGATTTTGTCAATGGATTAATTGAAAATAAAATGAAACAGCAAAATCCAAAATCTAGAGGAAGACTCAGGGGGAGACCCAACGGGAGAAAAATGAAAATGTGATGCTGAATTTTAATCGAATGAAAAACGAAAAGTGTAATCGGCCTAAACTAATCAATTGAATTATAAGACGAATAGAAAATTATTATTCTCATCAGCACTTCTAATAATAAAAAAAGATAATGAAAAAAAAAATTGATAAACAAATTTTTTTTAGCTTGAATTACGTTAAACAGTCATTTTTCGACTGGTTCAATTTTGCCCCACTCTCCCCTATCTAATTTGACACATTCTTGTGTTACACGATCACAGTGTATGTGCCACGCACAATGTTCTGTACAGAGGAGAATTGCAAGCAAAACCAAGAAACATTTTCATGTATACTTATATTTCAATTACACTGATGGATTACACACCTCTAAATACTTTACATGTTTAACGATTATTCGATTCACATAGGATTAGTTACGCATGAATGAGAAGCACATCAGGAAAAAATTGATTGTGTGTGAATTGAAAGACTATTGAATATGTAGTGAAGTTTACTAGCAGTTAATGTGTAAGCTCCAAAAATTCATCAATGTATGAAGATCGTTCAATTCCTAAACTATAATTCAACTCTGTGCAGAACACTGTGTATGAAAATCTACTATTTTCATGTAAAACAAAAATGAGCAAAACTAGGTGTATAAGACCCGTGCAACTGAATTTGGAAGAGTACAAGTGTGTAAAGTAGTCTGTTCTGTACAGAGTCGATTTATATATATTTTTGTCTAGATTACGCTGAATATTCAATAATTTTTGAATTTATGCTAAATGGTGATAGAGCAAATGGTGAACGGTCCCTACGTTAACGCTGAAGTTACTAATTCTTTTTTAATTGAAAAACTGTAAAACAACATTCTGTGCAATTCACAGCCAGTGCAAAGTCCATCAGAATAATTCAAATTTGTGTTCATTAAAAACATGCAGCACTTTTGCGTGTAATACGGCACTCTGCGCAGAACATTTTAAGTTAAAAAAAAAATTTATTCGTGTAGAGAAAACGATGCCAATTTCAAATTGCATGTAACATAAAAAGATACGAAATTGAATGTATAAGATTCTCGTATGTAAATCCGAAAATTTTGCGAGTGTGTGACAAAAAACAGTCATATTAATGGTAAAAATAGTTTTTTGTTGTATCGTGAATGATTTGATAAATTATAATATAAACATATGTTTTTTCCAGATATTATTCACTCAAGATTATGGAAAATTCGAATTAACGTTTGAATATCGTCATTTAAAAATCATCGATGAATGTTAATTTTAAAAGGAAAATACCAGTTTACGTGGATTCAAGTGTTAAATTTAATTTATTCAATTCTTCAAATGGGATTAATTGATTCTTCAGGTTAAAAAAAATTCTCCCAATTAATTTGTTTTCCTATGCAATTTGGAGAACTGATTCTTCCCTCTTATTGTTCCCTCCCACCAAAATTGGATGCAACTCGAGGTGATATACACTGTTTGTGTTAATGTGTTTAGAACGAAAATAATCAACTTGAAATTTATATAATACAAAAAACAAATAAAAAAAGTGAATGGACTGTTGAAACGAGTGTGTACGTTACCGTATGGTAGATTTGCTGAACTCAATATAAACGATTAGAAGATGTATTTATGTTATGTGTTTTAAATGGAAGAAACAAGTGGAATCGAATAATTAGTTGAAGAAAAAATCAATTTCTACTATAATTTTTTGTCAGGAATTAATGCAATCAAAAATAGGACGATTTTTTTGTAACGTTTTTGTTAATGAGTCATTTCAACCATCTGGCTAGAAGTGGATAAAACGTTCCCAGGAACAAACATAAATAGGTACCATTATTTAACTCTAGTCATAATTAAATGAGTTCCAGGGGACGTTAATTAATACCAATGATTTTTTAAATAACAACATATATTCAATTAAAAGATAGGTATATCAATTCATTCGTGGGATTAATCGGTTAATTGATTGATTGATTGATTTATGAATCAATGGATTATCGTGATTTTTTCTCTTTTTTCATAACGAACATCTTCATTCTTATGAAGATAATATCAGCATAAAAACATCGCGCCGGGGAAGCAATTTTATAATTTCACTTTGTTTTAATTAATTTATTCGTTTATCTACTATGATAGGTAATTCCAATTCAAATAGTAAATAATGAAGTTATTTATAGAAAATATCTAGTGCGAAGAATTTTAATTAAAAACTGATAGGAAAACAAAAGATCATATATACAATACTGTAAGTGAAAAAAAACAACCATTTCGTAATCTGTTTTATAGCACCGATTAGGAAGACTAAGCATTTCTGACGGGTACAAATAGGTTTAAGAGTATTTAAACAATTTTTGGAAATGTGAGAATTTGAAAAAAAAGAAATACAAAAAAACTTTGGGTGCACATCATTATGTTGCTAAACTTTAGGGTGTAATTAGTTTTATAAATATCATGGGCGTTAATGAATTTCTATTGTTCTGAAGGAATGGAGAAAAATTGAATAAAAAAGTTAAAATTGGAAGAATTGATGAAAATCTAGTCGAGCAGAGAAATTCAAATTCCTATTAACTAACTTTTGTGTATCGGAAGAGAATAAAAAGCAATTTGTTAGAAAAATTATTAATCAAATTTTGAGAATTTTTTTGTTCATTCAAGGAAAAATGTTGAAAAAGAGCATAATGATATTGAGGATATCCAAGTGAAACAGTCACTGTAATTAAATAGATTTTTGGAAAATTGTTCATGGCAAAAAACAAATTCTACTCGACTAGTTGAATTACACGTAACAAAACTGGAATTCATCGTTTTTATGAATATCAAATTCAAAACACTGTGCCACTCGAATATCCTCAATCCCTCAAAAATGAACTGATTGATGATTATATGCTACTTTATTTCATCCCGAAAGTTACGACATTTCTATGAAGCTAAAAAAGAGTAATAAAAGTGAAAAATAAATTCTTGTTAATTGAATTTTTTAAGCAGATGTCAAACTGTACATTCTCATAGTGAAATATTACCTGCAGAATATTGTATCGTTCATGGAAATCTATAAATCATAATATAAACATATGTGTATATGACTATTAACTGTGTAACATGTAATGTACTTTGTAAATATTCAGTGTGACCCTTCCGCTTTTGTTATTTTCGGTGTGAGAAAGTAAAAAAATCAACAGCATTCAGATTTTAGAGAAGACATAAGGAAATTAATGAACAGAAAACGAATTATGAAAGCTTATTTTATTTATCAGCCCTTCCAAGAAAAGAATCCAAATCATCGTTTCAATGCCTCAATCTCCTTCTCTTTTTTATTTATTAATAAATTGTTTCAACAAGGAAAAAATGTACACATGTTCATCATTTCATTTTCATTATTTTCGGCATTTTCTCTCTTTCCATTGTCGAAAATGATCGCGAAAATTGAAAGGACTTCTAGGACATTAAGACTAGTGTTCTTCTTCATTTGAAAATATTGAATCTAGTTGTAATCATAGGGCGGTCTTAGCGCCAATTCGGGCTTATCGTAGCCAAGTTCTTCTGGAGTGTTGATCCCAAGCTCATCAAGTGTTGGACGAATTTCCTGGACGATATAGGGCCAGGTGAGATGGACCTCGCTTCCACCTTTGAATTTGACGGTTTCTAGAAATCTGATGGCGAGGGCAATGTCATTTAGTCTGCGACAGGCTTTCAGAGCTGCTATGACAATTTTTGGCTCTGGGACAAGATCCATACCTGAAATATAAAACTGAAATCAAATCACTGCATTTTTTGTGAAATAACCTACTGCGTATAATAAAGGTCCTTCATTTCCTTGTTTGACACACGTAATATTTTGCATTAACCCTATAAGGTGAATTTCAATACACCCACTCTATGGCCGCCAAAGCAGAATACCAGCATCCCCACTCGACAGTCCTAGTACGCTTTACTACGCTTTTCACCTCAGAGGGTCAAGATCTTGTCTACAAAAATGCTAATTCTCTCATTTTGAAACGTACTAATGTCATTACAGATTGTGTCATCTGCATTTCAAATTATATCATTCAAAGTTATGAATGTTCAATTTGGTGTGTAAATGGACAGGTATAATTTATGCATTTGGAATTAAAGATAAACAAAATTCATCAATCCACGACAAAGTGTTATGCGTTTTGTGTGGTCTATAAATTTTGCACATTCTTGAATTATACATGCTGAATTGCGCACAAAAAAGAGAAGTCGCGTCAATCTTTTTTCAATCCGTTTTGTATTTCTTTTTATTATTTATTTCGCCCCAAAATCTTTAATAAACTGTTATTTATTATTAAATGTGCCCATTCTTTACATTGGTGTCAGAAGTGGGATTCGAACCCACTTTTGCCCATCTTTACAATATGAATGTCATGTGGTTGGAATGGGGAGATGACAAAAAAAAGAGAGACACCATTCTGTGTAATAGGTGATTTTGCCAAGAAAATGATTGTCGATGTTAAACTGTCCCAAAACTCGTGTGAGGCTGTAAAACTGTCTTAGTATATATAATTCGTTTTGTTACTTCCCAGATAATGTCGAATAAAGGACGCCGGTTTTTTACAGCGCCAGCGATTTCTACAAATTAATCGAACTGAAGATTTTTATAAAATCTGCTAAATCTTTATGATTACTCACTTGATTAGTTGAATGTGAATGTTCGCATGAAAAGAACTATTCATGATTTTTCATTGTCCACACTGAGAAAAAAATATATTTTTGCTCAACATTCATTTACTTTGGGAGAAGCATTTATTTTTTCAAAATCGTATTTCTCTAATCGAGTCATTTCCAGGCTAGCCTGATTAGATTTCATTTATAACAATCATGTTGCTCTAGAGGATGACTATATGGCACATGACCTTGGATAAACTCCTCTGATGATGATTCATTTTTCCTAAATTTCTCATTTTCTAGAGGGAAGAATTTCGATCAATTTCATAAAATTGATAATTATTGATGGAATTCACTCAAGGTCATAACTAACCTGATTATTTTCTAGGTTTCAATATAATTGACATAATCCAAATCTAATGAGGCTTGCCTAAGAATGACTCGAATGGAGAAATATGGTATTGAAAAAATAAATACTTTTCTCAAGTAAATGGATATTTGGCAAAAATAAGGTTTTTTCTCAGTGCACTCGTGCGTGAATCAATGTTGAATGAATTTTCAAATTTTGACTATCGACGTAATTTGTTAGAAATCGTGGTCATTTTTATGCGCTAACTAATGGAAATTTTATAAACATTGTTGATGTATACATAACTACGAGTTACTAAGTTCTCTTTATATGGAAATTCACAAAATGACTCTTTTTTCAATTGAATTGAGTATCGAATAACAAAGATTTAAAAAATAAAGTTGAAATATTTAATCGATAATAAAGATTCAAAGAATTGGATTGTCCAAATTTATGAAAGATTTCAATTTTTGCTGTTGACAAAGTCCCAGAGTATTGCAATCACTATTATTAACTTCTGCTTGTGATAAAGTAATAGAAGAATTTTCATTTTAATTAATTGAATAAAATATTCATCAAATTATGACATTTACCAGCAAGATCATTCATAGCTTTACGAATTTCCCAGCTATCTATGTCAGGGCGATTGAAGTAGGCCTCGTATCTTGCATCGAACTCTTCGTCAGTCTCCTGAGTCTCATGTGATGATGATCTCGTTGACTGTACCCCCACAGCAGTTACCCTGGGGATCATCATTCCCCGGGCAGCATTAACCGCACGTCCAGCCACGAATCTCAACATATCTCTAGACTTTTTTATCGAATTTCCCGATGAAAATTTGAGAATGGCGAATTCGAGAGTACCGAGACCACCACTCGGCTGTTGCGTAAACGGAGTAAAAGAGAATAGTGAAGTTGGCTGCGTCAGTGCTATCACCTTCTAGTTTTCGGGTTCATCATGATGGTGAGATTGATTCATCAATTTGGCGCCAAAATTGATACGTGAAGAAATTTAGGATGGCGAACATAAGTCTCATTAGGATAATAAGTTCATCCATCAAGTCTTTTAATTGTTCTTGTTTAAGAATCTCTGAAAGCTTGGTGCTTCATCTTTAATTTTCTTTCATGCATATACACGGAGAGAAATATCGTCATAATATCACAAAACTAATTTTTTGCGCTAAAAATCTCATTTCTTGAGGATAAATTTCTTGGGATAAGAATTCCGGATAATGTGTTAGACAATACAAGATTTCGGTGAAGTGTTCATGATTTGAACATGAATATTTTATGATAAAGTGAAAATTTCTTGCCACAAGAAATCGGTTTTTTCATGTCAGAAGATGAGAAAATGACTAAAAATATTCAAAGCTTCGATTCAGTGAATCATGAATCGCAGACTTTCATATTGAATGTGAAGAGAGTTTATGCAGAGGAAAATCTCCAGATATTAAAGAAATATATAACCGTCGCTTATGCTCAATTGCTTTGAGTTCGAAGGCAAGCAATATCTTTTCCTTCTGTCAAATTATTCTTGTCTTTTAAGGAATACTATCTCATTTCGCAAAAAGACATCACCTTTTCATTTAATAACTTCCTATTTACCCCGAAGAGCACCGATTTCTTGTCTCACACCTACCATAAATTGAGAAAATATGTATGCAATGTTTCTCGCTCAAGAAATGATTTTTATGATATTATGTCGATTTTTCTCTTAGTGTATGACCGTTCTGATTACTCAAAGGAGCGGAAAAATTTCAGAGCGTTTTCTCGTCTTTTGGACCGAAAAAACAATCTGTCAGGGTTTTTTATCAGCGACCGTGCATCTGAAAGTCATTAACAATTCAATTGTTTAAGCCGAGCTTGAGGGACATTTAATATGTTGCTTTCGTTAAACTAAACATATTTGTTTTTATGTATTTTTTGCTTGCGTATGGAAGCCTTGTATTTTACAGATTTTTCGATTTTCTAATTTTGATTGCAAATGGTCTACAATGTGATGAAACGCGAAGAAATAATGTTTTTAGGATCTTGTCTGTATATATGTATGTGATAACTTGTGTTTTTGGTGATTAATTTTTAGAAAATTCAACATAAATACAATTAAATTTGTAAATAAAAATCTTAAATTTGGGCTCATTGGTCCGATCGGTCCAATAATTCTTGACATATAACTTGTTTAAATTTCTCTTTTTTTCAATATCGTAAAAATTAATCCAGCGATTTCATTTTATTTTTTGAAAATACTCGTCTCGACGGCCTCTATCTAGATTAATCAAAATATTTGTATCCGCTCATACAAAATTTTCAATATATTGCCATTTTTTTCGTTTTTCTAATGTTTACATTTTTGCACGCTAACTTAAGAAAAAAATTAAGTACAGCATGGTTGGTATTTTGGCTCAATCAGCCGAGCAGCTGCGGAGATATTTTTAAAAGTCGCGGGCGATTGGCGTGAGATTTCTTCACACATTGAAGGCCGATTATATATGTTTAAAAACGAATAATTAGTGCAAAAAAATTCATTGTTTATCGTTCGTTTGCTTCGCACACGCTTAAAATGTTGAAAATAGTCCAGGGCCTCCAATTTTTGAGCTACAGAGGTTTATTTTTTTCAAAATTTTTGAAAAAATGTGCGCAGTAATAATTACGAATTAGTTTTTTTAAATTCGACTCCTACGCAGCTAATTTCGTTTTGTTTAAAATGAAAATTTGCGCTATTCATGTAAAATAGGCAGAAAAATTATTTTTAAAATATTTAAAATATACTTTCGATTTTTTCAGAAATATTTTTCGGGCTATTCTACATGAATGGTGCAATTTTTAATTAAAACATTAACGAAATTAGCTGTGTAGGAGCTGAATTTCAAAAAATTAATTCGTAATTGTTATTGTACACATTTTTTCAAAAATTTCGGAAAAGAAACCTTTCTCGGAAGCAAAATACGTATGGGAGTATTGAATAACGAAGGAGTAATGCTAGAAATTACATTTCTTGCGGGCACAGAGAATGCAATTTTTTTTAAAACTACTAAATCTATTTTGATGACAAAATTTTTTCATCTCGATGCACTCTCTGTATGTTTGGGACAAAAAAATCCTTTTTTGATAATTTTCGAAAAATTATTTTCTTGGCACAAGAAGACTTGTTTGAGAAGTTTGTCCTTTTTCTGTTAGTGTAGTCTCCCCTTAATCTTTTGTAGAAATTTATTTCATTAAAAATGTTGAGTATCTTCTTGTAGACAGCCTGTAGCATGTGGTTACGGATGTATGCCTGTCACAAGGACAAGGAATTTCTGAGTCCATTCGGAAGCTTACTACGAATGGGAATGGTAGAAAAAAATGCAAAAAGGATAAATAATAAAAAAAATAACAGCCACATGCCTTCTGTCGGATAGGTTCGAACCCGTGTTTTTTTTCTCGGATGGTATAAACTGCAACAATATTTGAGCTTTCAAACAGTGCATTGAGCCCAAATGCTGTATCAATTATTATAGCAACAATACAAATGTTTGGGTCAACAATCATTGTAGAACGTAAATCCCTGACGTTGATATCAATAGCAGAAATGGTAATTTTTCATCTGTTCTTCGAATTTTTTTTCTTTACTGCAAAGCAGGGACTGAGAACAAAATTGAGGAACGAACAAAACCCTGGTTTTGGCGTTTTCGTTCCCAAGAACGCGTCGAGAACGGGAACGAAATGAGGAACGAAATTACAAGAACGTTCTTAAGAACGAAATTGAGAACGAAATTGCAAGAACGTTCGCGCAAGAACTGAATTGAAGAACAAAATTATTGAGAACGTTCTCGAAGAACGAAATTGAAGCACGAAATTAGGAAGAAATTTGAGTTTGAGTGAATGGAACATCGTCATATTGAGAACACTCCTATTCATCAGTAAGGCATCAGTTTATGTGGTGCTGATATGATGCCACTGAAACGATGTAAGTATATTGATGGTTAATGGTCGTGTTAAAAGACGTAAACCACACTTGAAATAGTGACAGGCACATCATTACTTGGATTTATGAATAATCTTTATGCCGTATTAAATGAGAAAATAATTGCCGAGGTATTTCTACTTGATAATTGGAAATAAGGGACTGAATAGAAGCGGAGGAGTTTTCAGTGGGACTATCGCATGTGGCTTCAACTGCCTAATAACTGGCGAGGCTGGTGGTGTGGGTGTTGATATCCGATCAGGATGTTCAGGAGTGATAACTTCTGCTGATGGTCCCGCCAATGACAATAGAATGGGAAAGAAGAACACTCCATTGGCAGTTCCCATTCCAATCAAATGGATGGGGATGAGAAAGAAGTATCTGACAATGAATTCGAAGTATGGGAATGCCAAACACCGCCCGCGCACTTCGTGTCAAAAAATATTATTCGATACACGGAAGTGAAGAACTTTTTCTGGCAAATATGATTACAGAACTCGCCTTCGGCTCGTTCTGTAACCTCATATTCGCCAGAAAAGTTCTCCACGCCCTAGTATCAAAATGTACTATAGTGTTATCATATCAGCACCCCATTAACTCATGCCTTGTTGATGAATAGGAGTCTTTAATAGGACGATATGTTCCATTCACTGAAACTTAAAAAAATAATTTTTTTCTTGAAACAATCCGATAATGAGCTTCATTAATAACAATTCTTGTAGTCCCCTCATGCCATTATGGCAAGTAACTTATACATTTTCTTTACTCACTAATAATCTATATATTTGTAATAAGTAGCGAGGCCTGTAGTTAAAACAGTATACAGAATTATCTACACGGTTTTTTGTACTATAGTCCAAAAAACCGTGTAGCTAATTCTGTATACTGTTTCAACTAAAAACATATATATATATATATATATATACCAATTATTTATATATTTATAATACAGTATAACAATGAACATTAAAAAAAAATTATTTTGAATCTGTAGTGATCCCTGTAGGATTACTGCTGCTTCTGACACGTTCTGAAGTTACAGGGGTACATTGCGTGTATAAACAACTGAATAAACTGTATAATCCAATCTCTGTGTAGTAGCAGTAAGTATATAGAGTTTATCGTTATTCATGCTGCTACTCCTCCTGCCGATGTTAGTAAACAAAACTTGAAGATTGTAAATGATAGAAGAGAGGAGGTTGTATATGATCTTTAATATCTGATGAAAATAGGAACCCAGCGCTCCTGGGAACATTGGTAACAATATGACAAGCAACAGAAGCCCACTTCTGAGTAACAGCGGCTCGATCAATGACAACTCTTGCTAATGCCAACGTATACAAAGACACGTACTCTTGCTCGCACTCTTGCTAGCACATGGAAGGATTCGGAGGATAAATAGTGAAAAGAGACCATTGACCTACCAGCTGTGTTTTGTGAATTACCATTTAATATGAAATGAATATTTCATCTCATACACTTCGCTCAGGTTATATAGACCCTACAGCATGTGAGCCACCCTCTACAAATTATTCAATCAAACTGCTGAAACAGGGTGATGGTGTGAGTGAACCGCAAATGTTAAACTTCAAAGGAGATGAATGTAGAATTAATATGAAGAGTCCGGACAGATAACGAATATGGATAAACTGTAGTGAAAAAATATGTGTTTCAAATATAAAAGCATATCGATTAAAAGTCGCATTGACTTGTCATATCAATAGTCGACTAAAATTCTGTAGGTATTCACTGTAGCTCTCGTCTGTATACCCTAAATTCTTCATTCGTTACCTCACACTCTCACTGTCGATGCACACTCTTTGTTTCGCACAATGCCCTCATTCATGCCGTCACCCAAACCACACGAAGTAGCCCAATCTCCGACTAATGTAACCACTATTATTTACCCAAACAGTCACTCGAAGTAAACACTTCCGCCTAATCAACG